AGTTACCAAATGTGGCCCCTTCTGAAGGCAATGGAACATTGTCTCAGAGATGGATGAAGATTCTATACCCCAGATTGGAATTAGAACCCAGGTCCCTGTGTTTTTCTGACTCTTCTGGCAGAGTTTCTGACTGGTTGATTCTTTGGTTTATTCTGGAGATGAGGGCAGAGGACTGGGCAGAAAGGTGTTTAGAGCAACACTTGAAGCAACTTCAACATTTTCTGGTCAAACATGGCTGGGGAAGGAATCCTGACTGTGAGGATTGGGATGCACAAACTCCTTGTGATGTCTGGCATCCTTTTGGCAACATATGCAGGAATGACTGGTGGTTGCACCACAGGATGGCTGGAATTCTCTGTTGACCACTGGTCCAACGGTCAATGTTCCAAAACACACCGCAGAAATAATCCAGTTTGAGACCACTTTAACTGTCCAGGCTCAATGCTAAAGAATTCTGGGAACTATAGTTTTGTGAGACATTTAGCCTCTTCTGTCAGAGAGCTCTGGTACCACAATAAACTACAATTCCCAGAAGCCAAGGCAGTTAAAGCGGTCTCAAACTGGATTGTTTCTGCAGTGTGTTTTGGACCTATGTCACTTAACTTTATACATGCTGAGCTATGTAGCAATGGTGTCATGGAAACCTAGCAAATTACAAAGATGCATATTATGGTACCACAAAAGTATTCCAAAGCCAACATGACTGAGTGAGGCTCCTTCCGAAGAGGGAAGGCAATGAGGTGTGCATCAAGACCACTGTGCATTGGTCCTGTTGTGCAATCCACTTATGTAGCCATTAGTTCCCAACTGAGTTCCAGCCCAGGTCACTTCAATGGATGGAGAACTGGATTTCTTCCAGAGGCGTCATCAGGGGAGTGCGGTGGGTAAGGAGCAGAGGGAGGTATCACCTGGTCCATCGTGGAAGGAAGGAGGCTGCCTTTGGGGTTTGGCAGTTCTGCTGGCTGAAATGTAAAGAGAGTTATCTCCCTTTGCCACCCAGACAGCGGTTCCTTCAGACCAGGAAAAAGAGGAGGGGGTATGAAAAATGATCCACACTGTGTGCCAAATATACTAGGTATGCGACTGAGCCCTTCCATCCACTGTGGCTCCCTCCTGCTTGCATGCGGCTGTGTGTGTGTGTGTGTGTCTGTGTGTGTCCATTTGGGGGCCGGAGGAGAGGCTGAGGGATGGTCAAGCTGCCAGCTGGCTCCATTCCTGAAGATCTCCAAACACATGAATCAAAAACAAGGCACCCGCTGGGCCAATGAGGTTCTATGAAAGCAGCAAACAAGCTGGCTCCGTCTTCTACATGACAACCCTTCGGATATTTAAAGATATTTGGCCATATGAGAAGAAAGGGCTCACTAGAAAAGACTATAACGCTCGGCAAAGTGGAGGGCAATAGGAAAAGAGGACGAAGACTGCATTCCAGGTGGATGGACTCAATCAGGGAAGCCTCAGCCAAGAATCTGAAAGAGGTGAGCAGGGCAATGGAGGAGAGGGGGACTTGGAGGTCTCTCATGCGTAGGGTCACCAGGAGTCAAAGTTGACTGGAAGGCCATTCACGACAACATAAAACCATGTCACCAATCCAGACTCTTGTCTCCGAGGCATTCCAATACTTCAGAAGCATCCTGTTTGGGCCTTTCCCCAATTTCGTTTTAATATTCATTCCAGCCCATCTGCAAAGCATTGGGAGACGTGGAGGCCATAAGGAGGCAACCCTCTCTCCCTTGAGCATTGCCCCTCTTTTGTCTCCATCAGGTGCCAACATGGCTGAGCGAGGGAAGGTATCCTCCCGACTTCTTCTTCTTATTCCTCCAGAAGACAATGCAATTCCCACATGGGCAGCAAAACAAAAGCAGACGGAAGGAAGCAATGAGACGTGATGGATGGATGGATGGAGGCAGGCAATCTGTGAGCAAGTAGCTCATCAGCATAAAGTAAACTCGTCACAAAGTGGAGCAGGAGAGAAACCCTTTTGGAGGAGGTTGGAGGAGCCGGAGGCTGGCAAGGCAAATACAGCCAGCCGAAAACAAAGGGGAGGGAGCGACAGATCCTCCTGCTCCTTAATGCCTTTGGAACAAAAGGCCCATGGTAATTGTCCTCCACCGCAAGGAAGGGAAGGGCCTCCTTTCCAACAGGTGAGTCAGAGAGATGTTTCCAGGCCAGGCTGGGTGGCACCTTCTTCTGCAAAAGAAAGGCCGCCAGAGGAAAAACCAGGATTCCTGCATGCTCCACGCACCCAGAAAACTGTTTATGTTTCAGCCTGGGAAGCAAAATAAATGTCCACAAGGGAGCCCTTGTGGAACTTGCCACCAGCAATCTGATCTGCTCACAAGACAGTCTTACAAGACAGATTTACCAACATGTTCGGAGAACCCTAAACGTTTCTTAGAGGCACAAAGGGTGAACCTACACAGGGCAAAGGGGCTTCACTTGCAGATCATGCAACCGTCCCAGATTTGGGAAGGGCGGTCCAAATTAACTCTCTGCCATTCCACTTTCTCAGCTGCTTTCCGAATGTCCCAGTTCTCTCTCCTCCTTTTTCTGCTTCTCCTCTTTGTCCTCAGTTCACATCAACTGCTGCAATTGCTCTCTCTCTCTCTCTGTGCCAAAAACACACTGCAGAAATAATCCATTTTGACCCCTCTTTAATTGCCCTGGCTCAATGCTAGGGAATTCTGGGAATGCATTAGAAGCCTATGCACTCCTCAAGACAGGCCAACACACCATTAAAAGCCCAGCGCAGTCAGCTTCTAAAATGGAGTAGGAATTTTTGGACTTGCAGGTGAAAGGAGAGCAGGGAGGAAGGTCCAAAGTCTGGAAGGAGCCGCCACCAAGAAAAGGCCGTCGTCTCCCTTGTTCCCACCAAAAGAGCTAGGAGACCCTCTTCCAAAGGTCTCAGAGAAATATTGGACTCAGAAATGCCTTGAACAACAGCAGCAGCAACAACAAGAAGAAAATACCATCTTTTAGATGCTTTTGTATAGCTTTTGGTCTGCGTTGTTTTTTAATTTTTAATGTTTAAAAACTTTCATCTATTTCAGTTCCACAAAGAATACTAAATCAGCAACGGCAACAAAATGTTCAGACAGGCTTAGGATATGACACATAAGGGATGCTTAATGGACAGTTCCATTAGGCTAGTTGTCCACTTTGTATAATTAGGACGAATGCAAAAGTTGTGACTTTTGGGGGTTTCTGTGCCCCCCTCCCCCATCTCTGTTCTGTTTGATGCATTTTGTGTTTCTCTGGAGCCTGCAATCTCCTCTATCCTTCCATGCAGCACTTCCTGCAAACTTAAGGCCTTCCTCCTCCTCCTCCTCCTCCTTTACCACGAAGGAGGTAAGTTGCAACCGGAAGGACCCACGGGGCGTTACACGATCTGTAAGACAGAACCAAGAGCTTCCATTCCCCCGGGAGCAGCAATTACAAACAACTACACACGTCCCAGAGTTGCTTAATCACTGTTAAGAAATTTCTTTATAATCTGAGTAAATTACTTTAATTACTTGCAACTACCAATTAGTGTTTGCGGATAAGTCTGCAGGCAGTAATCTGTTCCTCCAGAATGTTAAATCACTGATCAAAAGACATTTCCTTGTCTGTGCTCCGCTCTGCAATTTGGCAGGTCAAGATGGTGATGGTTTACCCAGCAAGCCTCGCTTTCTGAAGGCTTTCGTCGCTTATTTATCAAGCTGGCAATTGGCAGCTGGTAATTCACCCACACCTTGAACTCTTTATAGCACACCCTCCGACTGCCTGGATTTGGCAGGAACAGACCAAGTTAATTCTCTGCCATCCCGCTTTCCTAGCTACTTCTAAAATGTCTTGTCCTTCAACACACATCCCTCCTTTGTCCTCAGCTTACCTCTGTCACTGTAAACTGAATCTGAAATGCCTGGCTTTCCTGAGCCTCCTCCAGCTGCCCATTTTGTTATTTCTTCTGCCTTCCAACTGTTCTGATTTGGCAGGGATAGTCCTGATTAATCCTCTGCCATCCCACTTTTTCAACTGTCCTGGTTCCTCTCTCCTCTTCCCAGTTTCCCCCCTTGGTCTTCAGTTTAGTTTAGTTTAATTGCTGCAGACTGAGTGCAAAGTACAAAAGTAGTTTGCACTCAATGAATTAACTTAGCAAGAAGGAGAGAAGAAGAGAAGAAGTGAGAGGAGAGGAGAGGAGAGGAGAGGAGAGGAGAGGAGAGGAGAGGGCAGAATCGTGCCCTTCCTACTTGGCTCAGGCAAAAGCAAACTGCTGCAATCTCTCCAAGCATTTCTGTTCTTCTTCATTAATAGCATTTGCCATCCTGACCACACTCTGATGCCACACAGCCACACATGTCCTGGCTTTCATCCACAAAATTAAAATGGAATGAAACAGTTCATGACAATTGGGGGCAAGACGTGAAACGACCAAGTCATGGCTCCAAACTATTGAGAGTGGCAAAGACAAAAAGGGATCCTTCCCCTAAAAAAAGCTCTCTCTCTCCAGACTGGAAGAAAGAGCACCAAAATGGCCAACGAGAGTCAATCCGAATTAAGCGTTACGTGGCAGACGTTGAGCGACGGAAGCCCAGCTTTACACAAAGGGCCTGAGATCCTACATGGTACAATGGAGCGTCATGTTTCCTTTTTGTGAAACCACACCTCAGACACCCCACCTGCGACTCACCCCTGAGCTGCCAAAACCTCTTCTTTCCTGGAGTAGAGTAAGGAGAATGGAGAGGGGCCTGACTCTGTCCCTGTTGCCAGATCCAGAAGGATTGAATCACCCCAAATCCACTGGGCTCCTCCAGAGTCCTCAGCATGTCCTCCCTGGCTCTCCTCCAGCCACAGCCATGGAAAGGCCATGCTTGTGTGCGTTGGAGAGGATGAAGCTTCTGGGGAGGCAGAACATGGCCACCTGAGATGGCCCTTGGGTGTCTTCCAGCTCTATGATTCTATGACCCTCTATGGCTGAGAGAGTGTGACTTGCCCAAAGTCACCCAGTGGGTTTCTGCAGCCAAGCAAGGATTTGAACCTTGGTCTCTGGAGTCCTAGTCCAATGCCCAAACCATTATGCCATGCTGGCTATCCAATTAATTATCTATAATTCCACTTTAATTGCCATGGCTGCATCCTACGGAGTGCTGGGTTTTTATTATTAAGATCATTTTGCTGATGCACTAGAGGTGCTTTCTAGAAGAGAATTCTAAATACATCTCCCCAAATTGCAAAACCCAAGAGTCCATAGGATGTTGCCATGGCAGTTAAAGTAAAATCACAATGCTTTAATCGTGTAGTGGGAAAGGGCCCAGTTTGCTCAATCACTATTACAAATAAAGATGAATGCCTTTTAATCTACAACCATCTGTTAATTCCGACCCCCCAATCCTCTTTGATCTGATCAGAAGGGCTCATTTTTT